CCTTCTCCTTCTCCTTCTCCTTCTCCTTCTCCTTCTCCTTCTCCTTCTCCTTCTCCTTCTCCTTCTCCTTCTCCTTCTCCTTCTCCTTCTCCTTCTCCTCCCATGGCCTTGTCATGTGGAGTCACCTTGGTTACCAAAAGTAATTAAGTTTGAACTGATTTGTTTCCTTAATTAGGGCCCAAGAGGACTGAGAGGCCTCCCTGGCCCAATGGGTCCAGCTGGCGACAGAGTAAGAAAAAAACTTGTGATTTTGACTTTTCCTCTCCACGCCCAGTTTGTCTTCTGAGAGGTGCCAGTGGCACTTGTCCTTACTGAATCCCACTGGGAAACTCATAAAGTGTGGGCTGTTCCCTGCAGCCCCTGCATCAGAATAACCTCCAAAGTCAGGAATTCACACACCCAAGGGACTGGCAGGGTCATCCCCAGCCAGACTGAGTCATTGCACCAAAGGGCAGCACAGACAGTGCTATAGAATCTTGGGGGAAAAAAAAAAAAAAACCAAAAAAAAAAATCACCCCAAAAAAAGAGAAACATTTCATGAACATTTCACTTTCTGTCTGTCTCTTTATAAGAAAAAGCCAAAGTATCACTGATGGACAAAGGTTTTCAGGACACAAAAAGGCTCCTCAGTGAGAACAGGGTCAATCTCCAGCTCATTGAGGCTTTGGATTCCTGTCACAGTCCCTTGACCAGCAGCCCAGAGGCTGAATGGGTTTGAATTGGATGAAGTCATGCATTTATTTAGGATCAAGAGGGTTATCAAGATAGCAAGCCCATGAATGCTGTCAATGTATCAGAGGCACAAAGGTGGGGAGATCCAGAGTGAAACCCTTTGTTCAGAGTGGGATTTGTCTGTCCTGCAAAGCAGCAGGAGATACAGGGCTGTCTTTCCAGGGCTTTTGTGTTTTCTCAGGTTGTGGTGCAAGGTGGGGATTCTGTTACTTCACCCTTTGCCAAGCCCAGGCTCACAATGATGTCTGTCTGTCTGTCTGTCCTCTGCAGGGTGACATTGGATTCAGGGGCCCACCTGGCATCCCAGGACCTCCAGGCAGAGCTGTATGTATCCCATTGGATATGCATCCCAGGCTCTCTGTGGCACAGCCTGGTTTATTCCTCCTTCCTGAGCTCTGCTGCCAGTGAGCAGAGCTGTGCTGCCCACCTCCAGCAGATTATTCCCTTTTCCCTTTCCCTCCACTCAGAGCAGTGTTATTTTACCTCACCCAGACCTCACAATGTCTCTCCCTTTGCCATGCCCCACACCAGAGTAAATTCACCACATTTCCATTGCTCTGTGCTTTACTGCCCTTCCTTGAGCACCAGCAGCTGTGGGCAAGCCCTGGAGAAGGGAATACCCATTAATTTTGGAGGAAGAATCAGCTCTTTTGTGAGCTTACATCCCTTGAGCCTGCTCTGTTCCCAGGTGCTCTCAAGGATTTTTGCTCCAAGCAGGAATAACTGTGTATTGAGGATGCAATCCCCATCCTTCTGCAGCACCATCCTCTGGGGACCCCTCCCTAGCCTTGCAATTATAGAAGAAATTCCTCCAAACTAAAACAAAATGAGGTGCCTTCTCACAAACCTTTTTTCATTACACCCAGCAGGATCCAGGCAGTAAATATTAAAGCTTTTCTCCCACTCTGTTTCTGCTTAAAGAAGTTGCTTCATTAAATGAAGGGGAAGATGGTCTCTGCCCTGAGGGGTTGTTGGCAAGGTCCCTGCTGCAGAAGGGGTGTCAGGAACTGGGGAGTCACTGAGAAAGTGCCCCCAGCTCTCAGGGCACTGTGTGTGCTCACACCTCTGCTGACACCAGCAAACAGCACAAAAACCCAAAGCAAACAGCACAAAAACCTCCTCATTTCACCCCAAAGCAGCAATCTCTGTGTGATGAAGATGCTTAATGGCTTTTCCTCCTCTGTCACAGGGAGACCAAGGGAGCAAAGGACCTCAGGGGTTCCGGGGGCCCAAAGGTGACACTGTAAGTGCAAACACCCTTTGCTCCAGTCCAAAGAATGTTCCACAGGTTTATTGTGGCTTGTGCTCCCTTCATTTGCTTGAAAGGGACGGAAGCACCATCTCAGAAATGAAATGTTTGACTCTAAGGTGTCCAAGTGCTGCTACAGCCTGGAGCACAGGGAGCAGATCTGACATTTCCATCCCTTGAAATGATCAAGCATCTTCCCAGGTGTTGTATCCAGCACTGGGCTGGTTTCTTGCTGTGTCCCAAACCTCCAAATTTATCTGGACAGAGAGGACCCAGCTGAAATGGAATGAAATGTCCCTACAGAATTTGAGTGTTGTCTTTGTTGACTGTTCTTCAGGTTCATTGATTCAGGATTTATTGTTGTTTTCTAGGGTAAACCTGGACCAAAAGGAAACCCAGGGGCTCGTGGGCTCATAGGAGAACCTGTAAGTGAGTTAAGCAGGATGCAGGTCTTGCTGTTGGTCTTGCTTGCAGATGAGAAGATCAAACAGAAGAGGCAAAAATCTGCTCCTTGCCATCCTTGCTGTCAAACTCTGCTCTGTGCTCTCTGTGCAAGCCCAGCTGGGCTAAGCCACAGCTGTACTGCTGCTAATGAAAATCTCCCAGCACAACTGGAGCTGGACTTGTTGCCAAAATCTTCTTTCATGTGAGTTTTGCAAACCACAAACCTGACCCAAACCTGTGCTGTCCATGATTGCAGGGGATGCCTGGCAAGGACGGGCGGGATGGAGCTCCTGGACTCGATGGTGAGAAGGTTTGTAAAGTCCTGCTTCACACTGCAGGGAGGGTTCCTCAGACTGCAATTCCCCTCAGGAAGCTTGGCTGGAAAGCTTTTCCTTCTAAAAACTTTTCTGGTATTGTCTCTAGTGAAGGAGAGTGAAATTCTCCTGTTAGTTAATCCAGAGGGAACTCCCTAAAGAAGGAAGGAGCACAAATGATGTTAGCTCAGCTGTGCCCCTGGGTTCAGTGGTTCCTGCTGGCTGGCTCCAGGCCCTCAGAGATGCCTTTTCAGAGCTGATTTCAATATCCTGGGGACAAGGTGCTGTCAGGTGCTGGTTGCCTGGTCCCTGAGCAGAGCTCCTGCAGGAACATTGAATGTGCTGCCAGGGAAACTCTGGGAGCTGCAGGGAAACTGGGAGCTCCTGTCCTGTGGGTGCTCACTCCTCTGGGCACAGCAGCTCGGGGTTCTGTGCACACAGGGAGGGAGAAAAGCACAAATGCCTGTGTGGGAATGTGTCCCCAGCCTGGGCTGGAGGATCCCCCCTAACCTGTCCCTATCCACAGGGTGACGCAGCTCCCGTGGGTGCTCCTGGAGAGAAGGGGCCAAATGGACTTCCCGTGAGTATGGAGCAGGACCTGCCACCCCTGGGGGCTCACTGTGCCTGCAGAGATCCGTCCTGGGGACAGGGCAGGGTCCTTCTGGGGCTGTTTCACAAGGAGCTCTAGTTAAGCCAAGAGGAAATTTGTCCCAGACATGTTTTATGAAAAATCCTTTCCATAGGATTTTTCCTCCTGAGAAGCTGAGAGGCCTCAGGAACAAAATGTAAACATTGATTATCTGCTGCTGTGGAATGCAACAGGTGCATCTGTGATTGGCCCATGTTGGATGTTTCTAATTAATGGCCAATCACAGTCAGCTGGCTCAGACTCTCTGTCGGACACACGAGCCTTTGTTATCATTCCTTCTTTTTCTATTCTTAGCCAGCCTTCTGATGAAATCCTTTCTTCTATTCTTTTAGTATAGTTTTAATGTAATATATATCATATAAATATAAATAATAAATCAAGCCTTCTGAAATATGGAGTTTTCTTCCCTCATCCTCAGACCCCTGTGAACACGGTCACAGAAATGCACTTTTCCCACCATGCAGACAGGGAAGGAATGTGCCAGACAGGACTGGAGAACACCTGGAGCAGCAACTCACAGTAATTCCCTGCCTGTTGGCTTTTCTGACTCTTAAAAGTCTAAACTTGACAGAGATTTTCTCTTTCACATCCCACTGATGTGCATCCCTTATGGAGGCAAGATCTGGGGTATAATACCCTGAGCTCTGTCCCTGCCTTACTCCAGTGCTTATTGGCAAAATGTTTCATCTCTCCAGACTTCCAACTATTTAAAAGAGATCAAGTATTCCTTTCTTCCTGCATTTGCAGAATATTTTGAACTCCCCTGGAGAGAGGTTTCTGCAGTGCAAAATGTTGCTGCTGCTGGTCCATTTGCACATCCCTGCTCTTTGCTCTCATGCCAAGGATTTGTGCTCATGGAGCTGCAAAGGCAGCAAGAGAGACATTGAAATCATAATTTTCACAGTGAAAGCTGCAGAAGTTCTAAACCTTCCATTGCTTCAAGCAAAGGTCGCTCCTTGTGTGTCCAATCAGACCAGAATAACAAATTTAATAACTTCACTTCTTCTGACATTGCTTTAATGTGATTTTTTTCAGGGTCTGCCTGGAAGAGCAGGTATTAAAGGCTCAAAGGGTGAACCAGTAAGTGAATCTCTCTAATGATGGGATCTGGTGGGGAAAGTGGTCACAGCAAGACTTGGTAGCTTTGGGGGACTGAGAGGATTTGCCCCAAAGTGATGGTTTCTGTATTTCTGCTGGGGCTGAAGAGCTGGAATTAGGTAAAATAACTGGGCTGGCTTTACTTGGTTCAGTAAAGACACAGCAGATCCACAGGAGAGTCATCAGTGGTTTAGAAAACCTCATCCTTTTGTCACAGTCCCAGGAGGAGGTTTGATCTTTGGGAATCAAAAGGCTGAGCACCAGCAGGAGCAGAATGATCTCATCTTGCCTTCTGCAGATTTTCCCCTCACCTCAGGAGAAAAACCTCCATGGAGCTTTAGATTGACACCTACCTGTGAGATTAAAGAAAGCCTCAGGCACACCAAGACACTCCAGCACAAAGCTGCTCTGAGAGGTGTCTTTGTCCCTCTCCTTTATGAATTTTTCCCTCTGCATCATTATTGCTGCTAATGCTCAGGGAGGACAGCAGGCTGCAGGAAGGTGGGGCAGGAATCTACTCTGGTGTGCAGGAGGGAATGGGATGGGATATCCTGGCATCCCCTGGCCCTTGGTGCCAGGACAGAGTGTGCAGCTCACCTGTTCTCTGGTGCTGTGAGTTCTGCCTCAAATCTGTGAAAGTTTAAAGCTGTTTTTATTTCCTGATCCAGGTTTTAACTCCCCCCTGTTGTTGCTGCTTCAGGCAGGGCAGAAATGACTCCCTGAAGTGCTGCTGCCCTCACTGAGTGTTTGCTTTGTGCTCTGCAGGGCAGCCCTGGCGAGATGGGAGAGGCAGGTCCCTCTGGAGAGCCAGGCATCCCTGTAAGTGCCCACATTTCCATTTACCATGGGCTCTGTTGGTGAATTTTAAACCCAGCTGGGGAGCTGGAGCTCACATGCTGCTTCCTTGCATAAATAAAGCTCCTAGTGTGCAGCACCTGCAGTCCCACGGGGTTGAGCACTCCAGGCATTGCACAGTGGTGTGAGCTGGCTGGGCAGGGTGCTGGGCAGAGCCCACCAGCAGTGGGCTGGCAGAGGGGCCAGGGGGGCAGGAGGTGGGGGCTGAGCAGCCTGGCATGCAGGAATGTGTCCCACAGGGCTGGGAAGGTGGGTTTGAGTTTGGTGGGTTTGTGCCTCCTGGATGTCACAGCTGCCTTTGGTGTCCCTGCCAGGGCGATGTTGGCATCCCTGGTGAGAGAGGTCTGCCAGGACCCAGAGGAGCAACTGTAAGTACAGAGCTGGCTGTGGACCAGAGAGGTGCCAAAATAGGGTTGGAATGGGGGGGTCACTCTCAGGCTACAGCAAAAAGCCATTTCTCTCTCCGTGGTGTCTCTGGGGAGCTTTGGCAGCTCAGGAATTCCTCCCCAGGCTGGGTCAGGTCCTGTTCTCACTGACAGCTCCGTGCAGATGCCAAGGGATCCCTCCCATTCCCCTTGGCAGAGCAAACTGCAGCTGCCAGGGGGTTTGTGGAGCTGCAGGAGGGGCTGGGCACTCAGCAAGCCCCTCACTGCACAGGAACAGGAAGGTTCTGCCCTGCTGAAGTGAGGGTTAGGGAATCAGAGCTTTACTATGGCAATTGACTTGGCCACCAGCACATGAACCTGAAATCCTCCCCAGACCTGCATCCCTTCCCTTGCAGCACTGCAGAGAGATTCCCTGCAAAACCTGAAGCCATGGATAGAACAAAACTGGGAATAAATGCATGGAGTCCCTGCTCAATAGCAGAGATGATAACAAATAATACCAGGAGGGTAAAACCCTGATTTTGATCCCATTACTGAAAATGCTTGGGTTCTTTTTCATCTTGTCACTCCCAGCTATTGCTGCTGTTGGGGTTGGATCTGATCTTCCAGTGGTTTTGTTGGGTTTTTTTCCTTTTCCTTTTTCTTTTTGGTTTTTTTTTTTTTTTTTTCCCATCTTAATCTCATTTTGAAATCCAGGAGCCTACAGCAAGTCTAATATGATTTCTGGTACGTGCCACTTGGAAGAAATTGAACTGCATGATTTATTGTTTGTGAGCAGTTTCTGCTTTAACTTCCAAGCAGAGGGAAATCGGCTTTAGAAATAAACTGTATTAATAATGTTTGCTTTTATGTCTGCAATTTTTCATCAGAGTGGCTGGCCTCACAAAAGGTACCACATTATTGCAGCCAAAAAGCAAAAGCAGTTGAGCTGATTGTGTTGGTGCAGAGTTTTGACAGGGGTGCAGTTGCAGCTGAACCCATGGTTATGTCTAACCTGGGCTGCTCACTTCTGATTTGTTTTATTAGAATCATAATTTATTTGTTAAGACCGGGCTGTTCCAAGAGAGGTGCAGGATTTTTCCAGTGTTAAGGCTGCTTGACTCAAAATAATTTGGGTTTTCTAGCTTTTTCTCAGAACCTGTCAGGTCCCTCCAGCTCCCATCAGCAGCTCAGCAGAGCCATTTTTGATGCAATTTAACTCGACTTCCCTAAAGCTTTGTATTTATAACTTTTAAAGTTCCTTACTGAATTACAAGCAGAAGGCAAAGTGGAAAGCAGTAACCACAAAAATACCTGAGCAGTTGTTCAGCTTTTTGAGGCTGGTGCTGCTTTATGTCAGTGACCAGTCTGGGGTTTATTTGTGTCCCTGAATGCTCCACCCAGCAGGGATGGCAGAAAGGAGCTAAAGCTGCAGCCCTGCCTCGTGACAGAAGCTTGCTGAAGGCATCTATTTCAAGATGACAGTTTACAAAATGAGATTTAAATGCCTAAATTACTTAGGTTTTTTTTTTCGTCCAAGATCTTTATTGGATCTGTGATATTTTTCTCAGGAGAAAGCAATAGAGACTCCTAATGGTAATGTTCATGTTCTGTCTGGTGAGCTTTTAAAACCCCTGACAGCATAAAGTGCTGCCTTTTTGTGCATTGCTGGAACCAAGGTGCTCAAACCAATGGATGCAATTGCCATTTTTCATTTCCAAGGGCCTGTAGCACGTGTTTTGCAGTAGCTCCTTGCAATCAATTAAAAGCAGAATATTGGGACAGCAGATCCCTCTAATGGATGCTGTCTGTGCTCTGTCATGCTGCCACTTTTTGCTGTCCCTGACCTCTGCTACTCATGAGCATGGCATGCTTTTAAGCATTGATTATCCAAATAAACCTTTCTGTTAACAACAATGCAATTAACAAAGCTCAGCAAACACCCAACCAACTTGGAAGTGGTTCAGCAGCACAGATCTGCACACTCTGCCAGTTCAGTGACAGCTGACTCATCTGGCCTCAAATGTTCTCCTCACCTGTGCAAACCCAGGGCACCACAGGGAATATTTCTCTGTCTGTTCTGGGGTACCTTGACCCCCAGGGGAACACTGACTCTGACCTTCATTCATGGAGAAAGTTTCCTAAACTCCAGAATCATCTAGAATCCACAAAAGTGTGAAACAGATTACAGAGAGTAGTGAAGGTGTATCACTTGGTGAGAAATTGAGGTTTTGGGGTTTTTAGTGAGTTGTGGATGGAAGCAAGATGGAGGGCACAAGGTGTCATACTGGGTTTCTTCTTCATGCTTCTTCTTCCTTCTTCTTCATGGGTTTGGGTGGCATTTTGTAATTGGGCAGAAAAGTGCCCATTGCAGCTCTGTGGGATCAGTTATTCGGTTAAAAGGGAAAATAATTTGGTGTCAGTTCTTAATTGGACAGTTCAGTCTTAGGGGACCTTGTAACAAGAGACTGTTGGCCATTTTGTGCCTTCTAATGGAAAGCTACTGAACTCACAGCAGTGAGACTGTTTTACTGATAAGAGATAATAAACACCTGATTCCCAACATGAATGACTGTCTCAAGTGCCTTCAATCCAGACCCAGAAAAACCAACAACTGGTACCCCCACACTTACCAAAGCTGATTTTTCTCTTTGCAGGGACCACTTGGCCTCCAAGGCCCCATAGGAGCCCGAGGTGTCCGAGGCTTCCAGGTCAGTGTGACACAGGGGACATTCTGGTGTTTTGGCAGGTCAATGCTCTCTGCAAGCCCCTGGCCAGAATTTGGGTGGTGGCAATAAGGGAAGAAATCTCTTCCATTGGCTAGAGCCAGCGTGACACCTTCATTACCACAGGGTGGTAGAAAAAGCAAAAGGCCAGATAAGCTGCCTGCAGGAGCAATTTATATTTAGTGTTTGTTTGCAGAGAGAGGGGTTGAGTTTTAAGCCTGTTCCCTGGGAGCAGCTGTGGCTGCCCCATCCCTGGAGGGGTCCAAGGCCAGCCTGGTCTGGTGGAAGGTGTCCCAGCCTGTGCCAGGTGGTGGAACAAACTGAATTTTAAGGTTTTTATGACTTTTTGAGTTTGATCTTTGTAAAGACACCTCAGTTTCTCCTTGATCTGCTCCACTCTGTTTTTCTTTGGTGAATTCCTGCTGGGGTCTCCAACATTTCTTCCTCCCTTCTCCAAGGGTGTGGGACCTCCACTCCCCACTGGCTGAGGGAGCATCACTTGGTGGGCTCACAGATATTGAAGGTTTATTAATTTTAAGAGGTTTATTAATGAAAGACCCAGGACAAAGGTTGGAGCCCCTTGGCATGAGCCTGACCTTGGACCAGGAGAGAAGCTGGAATGAGCTCCACCAACCAACACAAGTGGGGGGAAAAAAGGAGAGAGACATCCCAAAATAACCTTCCTGAACATGTTATGGGGACTGGTGAGCTCCCAGGGTTCTGCACTGTGAGCTGTAGCTTGGTTTTGTTGTTCTCCCAACAGGGCCCCAAAGGTGCCAGCGGTGAGCCCGGCCTGCCAGGCCCGACTGGGATCCGTGGAGAGACAGGAGACAGGGTAAGGACAATGCTCCTGGCACCCATTCCTGCTTGGGATGGGCATTTAGGGGGCAATGGGCACCCAGACCTGGTGTAGCTGATGTGTGCTGGGTGTCCCTGGGGCTGCCCTAGTCAGGCCTCAGGGCAGGGAGCAGGATGCATCTTGTTCCCTCTGTTCCTGATTTCTGTTCCTCTCCAGAAACTCCCACTATTTTCAGACAGGGTGGATTGTTTAAAAGCAAATTCCAGGCCCTATCTCATCCAAAATATAGAATGTTTTGGATTTTCACCTGTTTCTTACACTGGTTCCACCAAAGCCTTGCTCCCCAGGAGCATGAGAGAGCTGATTCATGAATTTTTGTTACTGAGATGCTTGATTAGATTCTCTGGATTTTTTTTTTTTTTTAAATTCCAGTTTTATCAGTGACTTTTCTTTCTGAACATCAAAACACCTGGGCATCCCACCTCACAATAAATGTGACTTTTTATCTAAGTGAGTTCATTCTCATTTGAGAGAAGCCATCAGGGCAAAGTGAACAGCATTTTTTGGGAGCTTGCAGGAGAACAGGAGCCATGTGTTCACCAGCTCCCTCCTTCCCAGCTTTAAGGTGAAAGTTTTTTATAAAAAAAAACTTTAAGTTGCTTTCTGTGTAAGCAACTGCAGCAGCACCACAGGGGTATCACAATGGCCCTTCTGTGCTGGCTCCAGGCAGGTTTAAAAAAGCCTTTTGGAGTGGCTGTGGGCTGGAAGTGTGAAACAGGAGCATTATTGTGGAGCTCTGGGGCTCCTGGCTGCATTCAGGGCTTTGCTGTGGTGAAAAACGTTCAAATTCAGAGGGGAAGAGGCCCCTGCATGAAACACCCAGGGAGCTGCTTCAGGCAGAGGGAGGGGAAACGTTGTGCTTAAAGCAGTAAAAAATAATCCAGGTTTTATTTCTGCCTCTGAAGTTCAGTGCAGTTACTCTGAGATGGGATTGTTGGTCGCTCAGAATGAGAGGAAACAGCCTCCAGCTGCAGCAGGGAAGGTTTAGATTAGATATTAGGAATTTCTTTTCTGAAAAGCATTGGGACAGGCTGCCCATGGAAGTGGTGGAGTCCCCATCCCTGGAGGATTCAAACAAGGTGTGGATAAGGCCCATTGATGGTTTTGTGGTGCTGGGCTCACCCTAAACCCTCAGGCTGTGTTTTTACAGCCTGAACAAACAGCCTGTGCTGCTGGGGACACACAGAGCACCCAGAGATCTGCCCTGGGTCAGGATAAAGGGGAGAGCTGCACACACAGCATCCATGCAATCACCCTGTCCCAGCTGCAGCCAGCTCATCACACTCTCCTGAAATCAATGGAGACTTTCTGTGGAAAAAGAGAAATCCCCTCATGCCTGAGCTAGCTGAGTACTGACAGGCTTTTTCACAGTCCTTGGACTGACTGCTCAGGCATGTAAACCAGCATTTCAGTCAATGTGTTTGCTGGCATGAAAAATACCAGTGGTTTGGTGCATTTGACTGGAAGATTGTGACTGTGCTCACAGAGGTTTTCAGATGAGGGAAGAGATGAGAATTTGACTCCATGTTTCAGAAGGCTTGATTTATTATTTAATGATATATATTACATTAAAACTATACTAAAAGAATAGAAGAAAAACTTCTCATCAGAAGGCTGGCTAAGAATAGAAAAGAGTGAATAACAAAGGCAGCTGTCCCAGACTCTCTGTCCGAGCCAGCTCACTGTGATTGGCCATTAATTACAAACAACCACATGAGACCAATCACAGATGCACCTGTTGCATTCCACAGCAGCAGATAATCAATCTTTACATTTTGTTCCTGAGGCCTCTCAGCTTCTCAGGAGGAAAAAATCCTAAGGAAAGGATTTTTCATAAAGAGATATCTGCGACATAAGATATAAAATAGTGTTGAGATAAAATACATCAACCATCCTGCTGGGGTGGGATATGGGATGGGAAGGGCTTGGCTGTTGTTGCTGACTGAGGCAGCAATAGACAAATATTTTTCCTAAGGATTTTTATTATGATGAAATTCCTGAGGATCCTGGATGCCAGCAGCCACTTGGGGCATTGCCTCTCTGGGCTCCCTCCTGGAGCACTGAATGCTTGGCCAAAACCATGAGATGAGTTTTGTGGAGCTGATCAGAGGAAATACGTGAAGACATGGGGCTGGCAGTCTTGAACTCCTTATTCCTGCAGTGAATTGGAGTTTTGAATGAAAATCCTCTGGGCTAAGCTTGTCTTTAAGGAAATGTTCCTTGCAGGGCATGATCTTTGGTGACTGAACTGTGGTTTTTTGCCACAAACTGTCATGGAGCCTTGAGACTCTGTGAAGTCAGAGGTATAAAATTTAGATTAAAATGTTCAGAAAGGATTATGGTGCTTTTTCCATCAGCAAACATAAAATGGGTGTTACAAAGCTTTAGCCACTCTTGCATTTCTACATTCTATTGTCTGTTTTTCTGAGTTATTTTTCATTAATAGAAATCCCTCCTCTTTTTAGCTTAGTGCTTGAATTGAACAAAATAAAATGTCCTTGTTGTGTATGTTTGTTCTCCTCGAAGATTCTGTTCTGCTGAGCCACCTCTAGATCTAGTTAAATAAAAAAAGATCAGTTTGCAGATGCCAGATTGATGAGTGTGCTATAAAAATCCTGCTTGAAGGGTAAAATGGCTGAATTTCACATGTAGATTTTGCAGTAGAGAAAATAAAATTGGGGTTCTCCTGAACTCCTGCTGGCTCTGCTCTCTGGAGCAGAAATGTCTCAAATAGGGCTGAAAATGTGAATGTCAGGTAGATAAAAATGAAAGGATTTTCCAAATTGCCTGGATTACTCCTGAGGTGATAATCAGTTCATCATCTAAATGTATTTTATTCCTGTGGCCATGTTGTTCCATTAATCTTTAAATCAGGGGCACCTAATTCTAAATCCTTGGAAAACTGACAGTCTAATAAGGCCTTGAAAAAGCATCTCGGCTTTTTGCCCTTGTGGCATGAAAATATTCTTGTCTGTTTTATACCACAAGTAAATCCAAGCTCCTCTCACATCACAGGCTCAGAAATTACCCCACAACACAAACCAGGGATATGGGGAGTGCCACAGAGCAAGCAGGGGGGCTTAAATCCCTTTTTATTTCTAGGAAGTGTGAATGAGATTTGTACCCTTTTACTTTGGCAGCTGGGAGACTCTGGCCCTTGCTGAGAGTGTCTGACCACACCAGGAATTCATAGCAAAGCAACAGTTGGAGCTCATTTACTTCTTTCTCTTATTTATTTATTTTCAGGGTCCTCTTGGTGCTCCTGGTCCCAAGGGGAACCAGGTAAGTGATAACTTCCACGCCGTTGTCAGCAGAGAAATTTTAGGGACAGAACAAATGGCTTTTTCTTCCACAAATGAAAATATTCTGCAGCAGAAACCAAACCCCTCTCTGGTCCCATTTTCCCTGCATTGGCACAGATGTTGCCTGTTCTAGTGGGGACTCATGGAAATGCTGTGGTACAAACACCAGGCCCTCACTGGGTGTTTTGTAGCCACAAGGATCTGTGCAGGAGCTCCTCACATCAAATCCCTCCCCAGTTAAGTTTAGAAGTGCAGCTTTGCCTGTGCCTGATGAAGGGTGTTTCACCCTAACCTCAAAGCCTGGCACATTAATGAAATAGTTTAATCTTATACTTTTTGCTGCTCAAGGTCCATGCTTGGTTTAATCTCAGCAGTGAGCTTTTGGGCCAGTTTTCATCAAATATATGGTTTTTATTAATGCATGGCTGTGTTCTTGCAGTAAGTGGAGCTTTCCTAGCAAGCTTTGCTGGTTTGGTTTACCAGCATCAGTGTGGTCTGTGTTTTGTTGCTAAGGGGAAAAACCAACCTAATCTCTGTTTGTCTTGGAAAAATTCCCCTGGAAAGCCATGGAGTCACCATAACAATGTTCATGATTTCCTCCAATAGCAGAGCTCAGTGCTGAGCCAGCTCTGCCCTGGGCAGGGATTGCAGGGATTGCAGGGGTTTGTGTCACCCAGGCAGGCTCAGGTTGCTCAGGCTGCTGCTGGTGGAGCTGAGCAGCAAAGGGCTGGGACAGGGATGCCACCAGAGCTTTGCCACCCTTGCATTGCTGTCCCAGGAGAGCAGAGGGGTGTTCCTTACTAAGGCATCATGCAGTTTGAGGGTGGGATGAAGCTGGGGCCCTGCTCAGGCGGCCATGAGAACGGGACACTCAATATTTGCCTGTGGCAGCAAACGCGGTTTTCTGTGAGCCAGAGCAGGGGGAGCTAAATTTCAGTTCCCTGCTTGAGGAATGCCAGTGCCAGCCTGTGGATGTCTTTCATGGCTCTCATCCATGAATCCAGCCTTTCATCCAGGTCCCAGCTTGTTGCAAAGGGCACCCAGTCTTTGTGCCAGCTGCCCTGTGCCCATGTGCCCTCACCAGCAGGGGAGCAGCTGCTGTGGAGTCCAGCTTTGGGAAGAGAGAATTTCTCCTTGCTGGAGCTGGGAGCCCCCATGTCTCCCAGGGTATCCCAGGGGATAAATCCAGGTCCTTGCTGTAGCAGTAGGTGCTGTGCTAACTCTGCTCTCTCTCTCAGGGCATTGCTGGAGCTGATGGCCTCCCAGGTGACAAAGGAGAGCTGGTAGGTGTCCTTTGTCCTTAAATTCAGTACAGTTGACTCCTCAAATAACAAAAGAGTCCAGAAATCCATGGATCACAGTCAGAATTAATCACCCAAGGTCTCCAGCCCTGCTGTGAAAAGAGGGCAACCCAAATCTTGCACACATCACAGCAGCTTGGGAGATTTGGGTTCAGATGGGCATTTTCTGAATGAATCACTTTCTTATTTCCCTTTTCTTTCTGACAGGGCCCCTTTGGACCTCCTGGCCAAAAAGGAGAGGTAAGTGTTAGGCACTGGGGGCTCATGCCCTGAAGGATTTAGGAGTAAGCATGACCATTGCATAACTATAGAATAAACTCTGCTCTGGTGGCATTGCCTAGAAGGAGGCTTTCCTCACTATCATGCTATAAAATCTATGAGAAAAATGGTGATTTCTGGCATTCAAAATATTGAAATCTGTTTGACAATTTTGCTGCAGCAAGGACTGCTCTTATCATGACCTATATATGCAGAAATACCCTTAGGATGTAAGAAATGTATCTGATCCTCCAAATCCATTCAGGAAACCTCAAGAAAGTCTTAACTAACTCCCAGGGGAAAAGAATGGACCATGACTTCCATTTTAAGTCATTTTGGTCTTTTTTATTCTTCACTGCAGCCAGGAAAAAGAGGAGAACTTGGTCCAAAAGGTGTCCAGGGACCAAATGGGACAGCTGGAGCACCAGGGATCCCAGGACATCCAGGACCCATGGGTCACCAGGGGGAGAGGGGTGTCCCTGGCATCACAGGCAAACCTGGACCCCCTGTAAGTACCTGATGCTTCTGAGCACAGCCAGGGAGCCTGGCAAGTGAAAAAATGCACTGTGGGGTTTTGGATGCTATCCAAAAAAATAAGGTCCTGCATTTTAACAGGCAAAAATAAGGCTAAATAAATCCCAGATTAAATATCTGGCCTGACATTGAAATTAATTGCTGTCATTTGCACAGCAGAGTTCTGAAGGGAAGCTGTCACCTTTTGAAGAGGGGAAAGAACCCCCTGCTCTTCATGCAGGACCTTGTGCTGCTTCCCAAGCTCCTGGAAATGTGTTTTGTGTCCTGCAGCCTCTGCCAGGGCTGGATATTGATAAGAAGGTTCCTACAAAGACAAATTCTTGTGTTAACTGCAGGGCAAAGAGGCCAGTGAACAACATATCAGAGAACTCTGTGGGGAAATGATAAATGGTGAGTATTATTGAGGGAAAACTGACTTTAATTACCAGATCTATGGATCCTGAATATAAAATGGCTTCTGACATTTGTTAATTTTCTGTCTTCATATGAAAAAAAATACATTGACCTTTAGTGTAAGGAAATTATTCAGGAGGTCACCTTGTTGTATTCAGGAGGTCACTTTGTTGGGGATGTCTTTTGGTGTTCTAAAATTAGTATTTTTAAATGACTCATCATGGCAGTGGTCAAAATGCACTGAAAGCAGCTTTGGCACGAGTGTTGTGAGAGACCTCCTGCCCTAACCTGTGTCATTCTGAGCTCCCCCTCTCCTCAGTGCACCTCGTTTCCTTGGAGCAGGTCCTCAGGGAGTGTTCTTTATCCAAAGTGACTGTTTTGCACTTGGAGCTTACATCCCCTGTTTGGGATGAGATTAAAATTTATTTCAGGAAATTATTTGTCATTTGTTACAATACTTGAAATCCCTTAAAGAAACAGGAATAATCAACCCTGCAGATTTATTACTAATATCTCTGCCTGTGGAGATGTAAAAAACCCCAAAAAGCCACAGGTAAGCAGGAAGGACAGATTCAGTGTTCCCTCCTGCCAGGAGCAGTGGCAGGGAGTTCTGCCTAAGGAAAGGTGCAAATGTTGGAGGTGCAGAGTTTGGTTGTGTTTTTCAGAGCAAATTGCACTGCTGGCTGCTAACCTGAGGAAGCCCCTGGCTCCTGGCATGACGGGACGGCCGGGCCCAGCCGGGCCCCCGGGCCCCCCCGGCAGCACGGGCAGCGTGGGGCACCCTGGGCCTCGCGGGCCCCCGGGCTACAGAGGGCCAACAGGAGAGCTTGGTGACCCCGGACCCAGAGGCAAGTTAAGAATGAAACAATTTGCTTCTCTTTTATGCCCACTGAAACGAACTGGTGCTGAATTCAGCACTGGGGAGGAGAGATCAGCCTGTGGTGGAGCTCTGGGCGGAGTTGTGCATCTTGGGCGGTGATGTTGGGAAGGATGAAAGTTTGACATGGAAGTCTCACAGATATGGATGCTTAGCAGAAAGATTTTTAAATGTGGAGTCTGATGAAAGAATAGAGTGGTAAGCAAGTTTTGATATAGAAGAAAAGAATTGCTGAGCCAGTCTTACTGGATAACCAAGGAGGCAAAGGGTGTATTAGTTAGAAGGGGTTTTTATGACTTAGAGCAAAGGATAAACCCACCCCAAACAAGGTGTTTTTACCAAGCAAGAAGATAGCACAGGCAAACAATCCTGCTGATGTAGCAAGTAGAAAAAAGGTCTCAGAATTTTCCACTGCAAGAAAACTGAAAAACAACTTCTAGCTTAAACTGTAATGTACTAAATTTAAGTGATTGGAGAATAGTAACATAAATATGGTAATTATAGTGGTTTTGATAGGCTTTAGGTAATAGTTAAGGTATTGATTGCTTCTGCTGTATTAAGATGCTCAGCAAGGAAAAGTATATAATGCATTGTAACCAAAAGAAAAGTATATAATGCATTGTAACCAAAAGTTATAATGCATTGTAACCAAAACCAAAGGGTCTCCAGGCCTGCCCGCAGCTGGAGCTGACAGCTGTAGGCACAGGCTCTGTCACCCACATCTTAGGTAGAATAAACTGCATTTTAGAGATCTGCCTGCAGTCCCACATCTCTCATTTAGGCTCTCACAGGGTGCCATGTAAGCAAAGATCCCTGCAGCACCCAGGGGATTCATTTGTAGCTCCTCCTGTTCTCTCCCCTTGGGAGCTGTTGGTGGCTCCAGCTGCAGAGCACAGCTCACTGTGGGAATTGTGTTTGTCATTGAAGGTGACCCTGGTGAAAAGGGAGACAAAGGGCCTGTGGGCCAAGGGATCGATGGGCCTGATGGTGACCAAGGGCTGCAGGGTAAGTGAGGGGAAATAATAATAATTATAATAATTTAATATAATTGAATCCTGATGGCAATAGATTATCATATTCATTTAAAGGTGTGACAACTCTGAGGCTCTCCAGATTAAGGGAAAGGATGGTGCCTGCTTCCTGATGATTCCTTGATTAAAATACTCAAGATTAATTTATGCAAATTAATTAATATCTATTGAAAACTTGGAAGGATATTCTTTATTTTGCTCACCTGTTAAAGCAGCTTTTCTAACTGGGATTACACTTGTACAATGAATAAACTGCAGGCACCAAAAGCAGGCTCTCCATTCACAGAATTTCATAAAGCCAAAATATTTACAACCATGTTATTTTAAATTCTTCCACAAAATCTATACTATAAAATTTTATCATATTTATACCCTGTTGTCTCAGAATCTTCCATAAAATAATTAATCCATATTAATAAACTGTGAGCTCACACAGCCAAAACATCCCTTGACCAAATTAGGGATAAAAAAATCCAAAGCACATACTCCAGCTTCAGGGTAAATTTATTGAAAACACCTTGTACTCAACAGGCCATAACAAGTGTGATGTACAGACACTCAAAGTATATTAAGATCTCTAAAATCAACACATATATACATATATTAAAAAAGAAAAGATGGAAATATTTCATGTATCTTTCCCCTCTCTTGTTTAGGACCACCTGGTGTGCCTGGAATTACTAAAAACGGCCGTGATGGTGCTCAGGGTGAACCCGGGCTGCCAGGGGATCCTGGGACTCCTGGCACTGTTGGGGCTCAGGGAACTCCAGGAATTTGTGACACGTCGGCTTGCATGGGAGCTGTTGCAGCATCAACTTCCAAAAAATCATAAACCAACAGTACAAGAAGTGAAGAAGTGACTGAATATTTAAATAAACAGTGCATTGTAAGAAAACAGAATCCTTCTAGTGCTAAAAGGACAGATGCTCCTTCTATTCTATTAAGTGGAGACTTTGACACAGTTCTATGAAAAAGAAAGCATCAGATGAAAACTTTAATTAAAGATGCTTTATGACTATCTTTTCCTCCCCCCAATTATTTCCCAGAATTTTTACTGCTAAACAACCTCACCTTTCCTTCCTCCCTTTGCTCAAGAGACCTGCAAGAGGAAGCATTGCTCCTTTTTACCATCATCCCCCCTGTACTAAAGATCACGACTTTTTGCTAAGAAAGTTTGAGCCTTTTCCATTGAATTCCTTGGTGCTGCTCCCACTGACTTCAGTCCTGCAGGTTTGTGCTCTCAGACACGTTGTTAAGACACTCAGGCACCGAGCTGCCTCTTCCATCAGTGGAAATCAGGCATTTCAATATCCTGTATTTTAACATCTGAACCTTCTGGCCTAAGGATGACCATTGCTTAAGTCTGTGCTGCCAGCTAGAAATTTTCAGATTGCACCTCAAATATTTTGGCAAGACTAGTAAACAGTAATCCTCTTGCAAGCAAATTCTGCAAAAGGAGTAATGTAAATATTTTAATTTCCAGGGAAGAATTTTTGCATATTTCCATATGATAACGAAGGAAATGAAGTAACAGCATTTTCATGACCTCTACTTCAGCTATTTGCACAGTAATTGTGATGGAACCCCACCTAAGAAAGGATGCTCTTTTAAAGTCCAGCCAAAACCACCTGTATGAACTGTTGTAAAAATAAAAGGAGATTTTTTTTAACCTTTTCTTTTTGATGTTGTAAGTGTCATTATACAAATCAAATTAACTTGGCTAAACTCCATTTTCCAGAGCTAGGTTTTACTAGTATTGTTTGGACATAAATTGCTGCAAAATTGTTCTTATCCGTGATTTAAACCAGTATTAATTTTGGTAGAACTTTTTATACTTTAAAGCTTGCTAGCATCATCTATTTAAAAAAATTAATAAAGCCACTCTCAGCTCACACACAGTTCTATTTCTGTCCTATATGCCAAAGCCTATGAACGAAGCATCATATTTCTCTTTAAATATAAAAATAGTTTGTGCATTTAAATATCTACTGTTTAAAATATTCCACTTTTGGTCTAAAGTAACAACACAAGAACCTATTGGACAGTTGTGTGGCAGACATTAAAAATAGGACTGAATTTAAAAATGCCAACACCATTGCACTACTCTTTGGAGCTAATTATGTTAAATATGTATGCAAATGCAAAATTCATAATACACACAGTTTAGAAACTATGCACTTGTTCAAATAACCAATACAATATTTACATTTTAAATGGAAAAATGGGCATTATAATATGGTAACTTCAGTTTCTTTTTACACTGGAAGAATGAGTTTTGCATCTAGCCATTAAAATAACAGGAAGATAGAAGTTCTACAACTCTTCCAATCTGTACTGCATCATCTTTGAAAAATAAAATAAAAGCAAAAAATTAAATGAGACCCCAAAGCAGGATGACAAGCAAATTTTGTATAACTAAAGGGTTAAAATAATTAGTTATGACATTTTCTTGTAGCTTCTGGTCCCAAAGCCCCTTGAACAGGGCAGATTCCCATTGCTGGTAGTTACCTTCCATTTCCATTTGCAATAGAGAACGTTTCCTTTAAATTCTATTTATATATATTTACAAGTTACACTCTCAAATTCCTATTCAGCATGTAAATGGAAAGAATGAAACACAGCTTGCACTACTGTCACACAATTCAGGGTGGGCAGCTCAGGCTATTTGGTCTCCATAGCTGTGCGGTTTTCCTGTGCTGGACACATTACACACGAGTCTGGTCTTCCAATTTTTAGTCTCCTGCCTGTTTTACCACAGAACACAGTCTCAAATTCCTAAAAAAAATCAAAATACAAAAGATAAATGTTATATTTAATACAGATGTTTACTTGAGATGGATGCTTTTGTTTCATTTGTGCCTTCAAGAGGAAGGAGGAAGGACCAGAACCATATCTAGAGCAGCAGGTTTTCCAGTAAACACCCTCCTAAAATTCTTAGCAGAGCTAGAATTACCCTGGAGCTGTTACTACTGCTGAGGAGAACAAGAGTTGCTTTTAAGGCATGTAACCCTTTAGCTCTGCTCACCCACTCAATACAGTGTGGGCATTAGCTGTGATCCCCCTTCCTGAACTAACTAGAAGCCTGTGAAAGAGGCAGAAAAGAGAGAAAATGAAAGAGGAGAGGAATGATTGAAGATGACCTTAATTTCATATTGTTGTCCAAATAGGATCATGCTCAGGAACTGTGTAACTAAAAAAATTTAATTTAAAAATTTAATTTGAAAACACTGACTGAGGACAGCCTGTAATTTCTTACTAGTGACTCAAACAGCTGAAATAAATAATAAAAAAAAAAATTTAAAGGAAGGTTCAAGGATACAGTGAGTCCTTCACAAACAGCATCAAGCAGAAGCTTTGCATCTCAATTCTATGTTATGACAGCTTTAAAACATTTCCCATTTTTATCAAGACCAAAATCAAAATGAGATTTCAAACCTGCTTCAGGGAGTCACCGTGCCTTTCCTGAATGTACTTGAGGAATGCAGTTGTCCACTGCAAAGTTGTTGCCTTGTCAGTGTCGATGGTGCAGAAGGGAACGAGGAGATTGAGCTCATCACAACAAACCCGGATCCTGCGCCTGCAGGCAAACACCCAAGGTTATCCACCACGGGCCAGAGGGAAGGGAAAATACAGAGAACAGGAAGACTACTCACATGTGCAACCAGCCATAGACTTTGGGGACTGCTCTGTGTTTGCTACAAGCTTTGTGTATTAGTTTTGTTACACACAAGTCACCTTATCTTTACAGAATGGGTGAAATGTTTTGAAATCTCTTTTTGTTTGTTTACAGAGTGAAAACACAAAGACAACCACAATGAAATAGAGATGTTTTTTTCCCTCTAACAAACACCAAACCCTCACCTACTGCACTGCTATTTCTTGGAGTTAACACAAAATACGACAAGTTTACATTTACTCTGGATAATCAGAGTACTGCAGCAGCAGTATTTTAGGCTTCAGGAGGTGTTTCATGGCCCCTGCTCCCAGAATTACCTCCTGTCTCTCTCCAGGCGGTTGTGCCTCTCCCTCCTCTGAGCACTTCCATCCTGGGAACCACTCTGCACCTGCACACTGGAGCTGGGCTGTGCTGACTGCCAGGGGCCCTGGGCAGCTGCAGTGCTCTGGTTGTTGTCCCGGGCGTTCCGAATCTCACCGAGAGGTTTGCGATCCATGTTTGCATCCAACAGATTTATTCGGCTGCAACTTCTGTTTATGGCTTGCTTGCATAAGGTGTCTTGTAGGAAAATAAAAATGAAAAAAATGACCTATTTGTTACTCTCCCATTAACCTGAAAATACTGATCATGGAAAGTTCTTTTGGTGCTTTATTTATATGGAATAATCTTTGAAGATTTACTGCCAGCCCACATTGATTCTTCCAGCAAGACATGTCCTGCAGAAGACCTAAGGCACTGCTTGCTATTCTGAAATCCACACAGCTTCTATTTTCTCAGAGAGGCCACTGAGATTGTGCCTGCCCTTGGTGAGCACTTGAGGCAGCCCTTAAAATGCTCTTCAGTTTGATACTGACTGGGTCTGCTGGATGAGCTTTGGGGTCAAAGAATGTACCCCTCTGCCACGGGGTTTGGTGGTGTTTGCCCAAAGGCTGGACTCAGTGATCTTGGAGGTCTTTTCCAACCTTAATGATTCTATGATTCTAAAGAAACCAGCTGCTGACCCAAGGCTCAGATTTTTAAAGGTACTTTGTAACCTCAAGTCTCCTCATTTCAACCCAGAAGTGCTAAACAATTTTGAAAGTACAGCTAAACCTATAGATGTTGAACCTCCTTGGAGAAATCTGGCCCCATGCTGCCTGTAGAGCATTTTTGCCACAAAAACCTCACCTCCCACATTCACCAAAATCATATTAATTCCAGAAAAGAATTCAGAAAAAAAAATTACATTTGAAGACCAAGAGAAAACTAAGTGAAAAGAAGATAAATGGTTTACCTCCAACTTTAATCCAAACTTCCTCAGGCAAAGCTTTATTTATAGCACCTACTGTCTGTTTCGTGGATTCAACTTCCTGATAGAGAAAAGGGAATGTTTTGGGTATCCCAAGGTCTTGATGTTTGGCAGCTTCCAAAATAGTGCAAGATGTTCCACAGGTCTGTGAAAACAAAAGGAAACACTTACAGAACTATATACATTAAAACAATCGAGACTATTGTGTTATCTTTCTGTTAGCTTCTTAAATTACTTCTTCAGACTGAATAAATCCCAAATACACACAAGCATGGGGTTTTGACAGTGGTGAATTTTGGGGATAGCTCTGACATTTCTCAGTGCCATGCTATCACTTTTGCTTCAGAGGTTACTGCAAGTTGTGGAGAGGGAAATATCTTTATCATCAAAATTAATTAGAAAGAAAGGAACTACAGAAAATGGTCTCTTTGTTGTCTTGCACAGATGAAAAACTGATAAACTCTAAGAAAAAAGATATCTGATGGCCTACTGCTTATTACTGGGATACAAGTAATTACAAATGTCACAAAAGTGACTTGATTTCTTAAAGATAATAAAGTCTTAAAGATAATAAATAAATTGCATTACAGATCATTCCGCTCATCCCTATTCAAACCCAGCCACACTCTACCACAAACCTTCAGAATTGTACCACACCCAGGAAGTTAACACTATCAGCATTGGAAGGTGGCAGAGCAGAGTTACCTGTGCTTGGGAAGGGTTAGCACTTCCAGCAGCAGAACATGCATTCATGGTAAAGAACGGGTAAGTGAATGGTAAGGAATGTGTGGCAGGTGCAGCCTTATTTTTCCCTAGTGCAGCACACCTGTTCCCTTGCTGGTGAAGAGGAACACCCACCACTTCTGAGGGCTGGCGGATCAATGTCACTAAACTTCAGACAAAAACAAACAAACAGAAAACATACCAGGC